AGGGAACTGCATTTATTCAAATAACATTAATTAGTAGGCTGCTCGACTTTTTAGTTTCGCCTGATGATTTAGAAATTAAATTGAAATATAGCGTTTTGATTTCATCCTGTTTTTCCGATTTCGATTGTATATCAATCATAATGAGATTATTCTTCGGATTATCTTTCGTCCTCAGTATTTTACCTCAAACTATCAGCCTCGCCTCGATGTCGCCTTGTTTTTAGTCTCCTCTCGCAGCAGTTATGAGGCTCGTTCCCAGGTCTCTTCCCCCTAAAGGAGATAACTGGGGTTGTGTGTTCCTCATGTTCACTTACAGGATCTAATATTATCCCAGATCTATTTATGTGTATTTTTGCAAATATGCAAGCAAAGCCGTGCAACCTCTGCGAAGTAAAATCAAAATATTTCAGATAGGCAGAACTACGTTTTCCATTTTGTTAATGGAGCTCCGTAGTGGCGTCACTGCATACTTGTCTATTTTCTCATCTATCAGCAAGTGTTTTCATCTYGCTGTGTAACACTCAGTTGGATGAATCGAGTGTAAACGAGAAACTGYACTTCTGAAATTTTAGCGTAGGTGCGCWTCAGGTCTGCATGGCGTTTAAGTTTCAGCTTGCACTTCGAAATTGTGGCTTGAAAACGGGTGCGCAGCTTTAAGTGATCGAACGCGCAAATTTACAAATAAAACAAATGTGCATGCCTCTAATAGACATCCGCAATGCGCTTCCTAGCGGCTAAAAAGTGTTTAGAGATGGAAAGATTGATTGATCGAAAATGCTGTGGAAAGTGTGAAATAAAGTTTTTCACAGCTTGTTTGCAGGTAGAGATATTCGATCTAAACCTACAACCTGCTGACCTGTCAAGCGACTAATGACGCTATTCAACCAACGCTTGTCCATTGTTTGTCATTTTTCGTTTGCAATTTCATTATTTCACTCGAAATAATGTCAGAAATGCATGGGATGTCTTGTACGTGTTGCGGATAATTTTCGGGGATAAACTGTTCAAACAATTTGCTCAGATAATTCAACTGAATCTCCCTTCACCAACTGGCAGGCATTCGCGGCTTTCTCTAAAAAAACACAAAATCTCCTTTAACACGTCGTAGCCGGACCTTTCAATCSGTAAATGAAGAGAACAGACATTGTTTAGAATGGTATCTGCTAAAAGGATAAATCTTATCTCATAAAATCTACATGTGTTCAGAAAATTTGTCTTTTCAATGTTGGGGCTATGAACATTATGATGTTATAAAACGTATGCTAATCTATAGATATAAACATAGTCTGAAAACTTCCAGCTTGATAAAGAAAATTTTACAACAATGTTACCGTTCGAACACGCAAACGAACTGGTAATGATAGGGGTCCAATAACTGCATTTGATTGTGCAAACAGATCTCGCATATTTCACATRTCACGGGAATTAATTAGCATGTAATTAGTAGCACACAAACAAACCTATGTCCCGCTAATCAATCTTTAATTAACAAACCCACCAAATGTACAATGAACATTGCAAGCATTATTCAATGATGTTGTAAACAAAAAGTACAAAACTACTTGAAATTCCTTTCGATTGATGTTTTGCTGTCAGTGTCGATATTAAGATAACACTATCAACAACGACACAACAGTATACGGTGTATCTGGCCGCACCTTATACTATTTGCCAGAAATGCTAGAAATGTTACAATTCTTTTGTCAAAAATAGCTTAGATATAAAATGAAATAAAACCATAGAGATTACGGTGCAATGGAAACGTCTGCATGGGATATTCCATCTCTTTTGAGATGAATTACAACTTACAGACCTGATATCGGTAGTTAGTAATAAGTACAGTACTTGATAGCTAATTAAAACTCCAAATAGTCCAGTATAAGCTCAGCTGTTTGAGAATTTTTYGTTATGAAGTCCTTCGGCTTGGTGGATGAATTCTTAGAGGCTTGCTTTACGTGAAAGCATTTTTGTCATTTCGTCCATGTACAGTGAATATTTCCAGTGAAGTTGAGTAGACATTCATTTTACAAAAAAATTCAAATATGAAATTTTGCTTCCAAATGAAGGTTAAATTATCACGCAGCAACAACCCTCTTCCTCTTCCTTTTGTTTTTTCTTTTCTTCCTCTGAAACATCTTTTTCGGCGTCCTTTTTTTCTTCTCCGTCCTTTTTGTCTCCTTCTTTTTTTTCTTCGTCTCCTTCTGCTTGTTTGTCTTCTTCTGGTGGTGCTTCCCCAGCTGCTTCACCTTCTGCTTTAGTTTCTTCCTTCTTTTCTTCTTCTCCTCCCTCAGCTGTCTTATTTTCTTCGTCAGACATTGCAAAAAGAAAAAGGATGTTCTATAATAAAATCCTAAGTGAACGGTAGGAAGGTTTGTTTACAACTGATAGTCTGGGCTTCATAAGTCGGAGTTTGCCTCGCTAGATTCATAAAATATTTAGCTGTTACCATAGCAACTGGCACCCGTCGTTTGCAAACTTTCTCAGAAAGTATCCAATGAGAACCAATGGAGTGCGTTAGTTTGTGCGCTGAAATGGTGGTACCATTGTCATGTAAATTATTTGTTTTCTTTTCCAATCCCGTTTGATTTCTTTTGCTGTGTTGTTCTTATCARTGGTGATGATAGAAAACCTCAAAGTACAGYGTTAAGAGTTATTTACAAACCATTTTGATTGAATAGYGAAAAAGAAAGCACGAGACGCCCAAAACTAATCAAAAGCTCATTAGTAAATCAAACAATTCGCAAAACCCAAGAACTTAGTGTTTGATAACAATAGGCAGGTCATGGATTGGATCACTAGCGTTATTACCGCCAGTCTTTTCGTAATAGTCCAAGAGTTATTTTAGAGTAGCTATGCTTAATTTTGATACTTGGTCTTGCCTGAACCCAGTCTATATACGTTCCTATACGAATGCCGGACAGCATTGCTAAGAAGATATAAAACTACCGGCTGCTAGTTGTCAGATATTTCTTTATTTAGAAGTTATCCTTGTCTTGACTTGTGCAATTATATTTTCAATTAATGCTCATTTTCACAAGGATATCACTTATCTGTTTTGAAATTAGTCGTGTTTTTGCTAAGAAAATAAAGAAATGCAGCATGGGATCTTGACTGAGCTCGCCTAAATATTGCAGCTCATGCACATCGATTCTTGATTAGAGTCATRATTATTCATAAATTATGGTGGCAAACGACTATTATCGCAATTTGTGACATGGTCTGTCATCCTTTCTCATAACCCCCGAGATTGTATATGAAAGGGGACATAAGTCATGTTAGTTTATTCGACAAGCTTGATAACAACTAACTATACAGCCAACAAGCTGTAGCTCATAAACTTATAATGCAACAACATACCATAATGATTTAGAATAGTGTATTAATTTATGCCACACCAAGAAACTGGCTTCACAGCTGAGAAAAATATATAGTATAGTCTGGTTCGATGGAAMATATGCAAGTTATTACAGTTGCACCATTCAAAAACTGATGGGGTAAGTTGAAAATTTGAGGGAAYATATTTTGGTTAGCCTTTATGCATTTTCAATTTTCAGTTTSGATGCTAGCCTGCTTCACCTTCTAAAAAAAGATTACGGCTACTTCTAAGCACAAGATCACCAGAACCTTGATGGTTTCTTTCTTTTTACGCTTGTCGTATTATTAATATTTATTCTTGACGTGTTGTCTTTTTTTAATCATTTTCCAACKTACCCTCACTTTTCTAATGGTGCTTCACCGGAAGAAATAGTTTCAGATGAGCATACTACATAATCAGCAACCCATTAATAGATAGCACGCTAYATAATCAGCTACCAATTATAGATAAAAAGGTAAGTAATGTACCAAATCCCAGTCAGTTTGTAAGTGAGAGGTGCCAGAGCAACACCATCACTGTTCGAATTGTGCTCGAGATATATATCACGTTTCATCCTTGTATTGTAACGTCGTCTTTCCCTCGATTTGGGCTGAGATAAAGGCTCAACAAAAACTGCCGATGCCATTAAAACCTCCAATGGATTTGAGGTATTTGACTGGGAGTTGACCTTATCTACAGTTAGTTTTGCTGCCTGTTGACAGTACGATATGTATCSTGGTTGACGAGGTACAAAAACAACAGATATATCGTTTCTGTCGGTAAAGTCAACTGTAATGCGACATTTTCGCACATGCACAGTGTCCTGTTTGCTACGTAAAAATGACTGCAGCACGTCTAGTCGAGAAAAGTCGGTGTCTGTCGAAAGTGTTCTGAAGTAAATCAGATCGCTAACTATGGCTCTATCCACACGTATGCTTACTGATGCACCTGAAAAAAAGAATCAATCAATCAATCAATCAATCAATCAATCAATCATAAAATCATAAAATCATAAAATCATAAAATCAATCAATCATAAAATCATAAAATCATAAAATCATAAAATCATAAAATCATAAAATCATAAAATCATAAAATCATAAAATCATAAAATCATAAAATCATAAAATCATAAAATCATAAAATCATAAAATCATAAAATCATAAAATCATAAAATCATAAAATCATAAAATCATAAAATCATAAAATCATAAAATCATAAAATCATAAAATCAATCAGTCGATCAATCGATCAATCGATCAATAAATAAATCAAATAAATAAATTCCATTGTTGACAACTAGATGATTGATTATGAAAAAAGAATTCTTACCGCATACGGGACAGCAGCTTCCTTCAGGTATGACAACATCCTTACAACTTGTAGACAGACATCGTGCCATCTCTTGTACTTTACTGCATCTTCTATTGACATAAACAGATTTCTTGTCCTCCTGAACTAGCTCTGGTTTAGCAACAATGACTTCGCAGGCCCCAGGGTAATCAACATGAAGACCAAATAAGTGTGCGTGGCAATCGGACTGAAGGGTAACGCCATCCGTACCACAAACCTAGATAATTCAGTCATACTCCGTCAATTTTGACGACCGTTGACTTTTAACTTTTTTTGTTCTATGATACTTTAAAGCATTTATTCCACAACATGAAGATTTGTCGACTGGAGTCACAGCTTTGATTTCGCAATTAGATGTTCTGGATATGAGTTGCCGCGYCAAGACATTCGTTAATCAGTATTTCAGTTTCTTATATCAATGTCATTTTAACTTTTCGATAGATGGTACCGCAACCGCTCACTCTCAAACTTTATTGGATTGCTTCTCATTTAAGTGATATTTTCTCCCATTTGCAATGCCAGTCTTTTTTTTTTTTTGGAAAATAGAGTCAATTTCGTATGAGTGGGAAACGGACGGTACAGTACTGTAACCGTAATTGTACTGTAACCAAATTCTAGTGTCTCATTGGTTCACAAAAATTGTGCAGGCCAGGTCCGGTAACTGTGCGGTAACCGTGCAGTAATTTCTACCGTACGTTTCCCACCCATACGAATTGACTCTATGGATGACACTCTACTATATTCTCGTTGATAACCAAAAATTCTGACGATTCGATGACGCCGACCGTGGTAATGAGGACATACAGGCAAGAGAGACTATCAAGTTTTATACCACACATCCACACGCACACGAGAAAAAATTGAGGTAAAGATCAGTGTAATTAATTCATTTTGAAATTTACCATTATGGTAAATAATTTCCTAAATAACAGACAAATAAAGCTAATTAACTAGCWAACAAAAAAATCTACAGTATCAGTGACCTAACCTAAGTAAGAATTACCTGTGTGTTTCCGGTCATACATGCAGGTCTGCAAGGTCCCCTATATGCAAAGGCGATAGAGTTGTGAGCCATGTGGCATGCAGATGGGTACGTTTGCCCATCCTCCCCACATACCACCTCCTGCGGCAAAGTTTTTGCAGGACAATTACCATCCAACAACACTGTCAATTCAAAAGGAAAAATGTCAAAACAGACAAATATCGACCATTTACACAATGCTGACAAATATCAGGAAGGCATAAACTAAGAAAGACATCAGAAAGACACACATTCGGAASGGTGACACATCGKCAAGGGACGGGACATCGTCATCGAAAAGGGAGTTACACATCGACATGGACCCAGACACATACCGACACGGAATATATTTACATGCTACGACACAAATTTGCACCAAAACGTACCGCAGTGATGCTGTTCACAATTTATGCGATAACCGTCACGTGTTTTGGTATTCAGACAAGGACCTCGATAAAATGGAATACAGACTTCATGCTTGCCACATTTAGMATGTTGACATGGGTCCTATTGTACAGTAAAACCATAGGTTACAAATGAACCAATTCAGAACAACGGACACATTGCTTGATGAAAGCTAGGAAGACACACGATTTTTTGTTGTGCCAAAAGACCTGTACTTATAGAACGTGCTTACTTTCGTTTGGCAAGGTCCTTGAGTAATTTCATCTATGTCATAGCCACCACAGAATCTAGCGTGACATAGTGAACGATAAGTTCTCCAGTCAGGGGCGCAGACAGGAGTGAGGGGCTCACCGTCACAGTCCATGCATGTATCATATGGTCGCTCACTTCCCTTGATGTGATCGGGCACAGCTTCGTAATTGGTGTATGCGTAGCCTGCAGAATGACATCGCAAACGAGTACATGTCCATTCACCTGAAGGTAGTAAGCAGAACTAAATGAATCCAGGGATCCAGATGGAGACAAAAAGTGGGAAATTGATAATTCACTCAAATAAATAAACAAAGGAGAAACAATAAAATAAGTAGGRAGATCAATGCGCATGCAGTTTCGCATTGAAATAAGGACATAACATATAGTCAAAAGTGTATGTATATAAACTTACGTTTTCTGCACGCACAATAGTTGCATCCATCGTAGTGGGTGGTGCCTTCATGGACGACATCGCCGTTAGTAAACGAACATTTGTTGTCATATTTGCTTGTTCTACATTTCGTTGGTATTCTCTCGCAAACAAACCGTCCGTTAGAACATTGACACAGACGACAATTTTTCTTGTCATAAATGAGCTGTCCATCAAGTGAAGAGTCACAGGGTAGTCCTTTATCTGAGTAAAATAGTGTTATACTTTTCAAACAAAAACTCTAGTCCGGAAATGACAATTAAATTAAATAAAGCAGAAAAAATCTYTAATTGAAGACCGTTGGAAAAAGTGACTACAATCCCGGATAAAACTGTGGAGACATTAACATTTTAGCTCGCTTCCAATCGAAAATTTTGGATTTTGTAAATCTCCCCTCCCTCACAAATTAATGTTGGGTGTGCCCGGTACTCAACAATGCTCTGAGGGGGAATTAGGGAGATATTAACTAAACTACTCACATTGATCTGCGAAATTTAACCAAATTGAACAAATGTTTCAACAGTTTTTTTTCCTGGAATGTAGCATAATTTTCGTTCAMATATGGTCTTACTGTTGTTGGGGTTCCTTTTGTTTCTTCCTCCAGATATTTCAATATCATCGTCGTCCTCAACTTCAAAGTCTTTCATAAGGACGATGGGATGGAGTGGTCTTATATTGTAGTTATTGACCATGTAAAATTCATGATCTTGCGATGAAATATCACGCCGTGATCGATGGTTGTGATGGTATCTGCTTCCTTGATGTTCGGTGTGATGCCATGATGGACGAATATGTCTGTTACGAGGTACCACATCATCATGCCCATGATTAATTCCATCGTCCTTGTGATGTTTATAAAAGCCATAATTATCCATGTGATCATCGTTGTCATGTTGATTACTGGCATCGTTGTGACGATTATCCTCAAAATGATCGTTGTAGTCGTAATGCCTGTTGTCGCGATTTTTTTGATGTGATAAATAAYGCTGATCCATGTCGTGATGTTCCCAACCATGATAGTTTTTCTCCTGGTTTCTATGGTGAGRACGATGAAGACGTTTCAYCATGTCATTACCCTTCTCTCTATTAAAATGGTCCTTCTTATGATGACCCTTCRTGAAATGTAAGAAATAGCGCCCGCSCCMATAAATAAGATGTTCAGGTGATTGGGSTTTTAGCCTAGTTACATGCTCCCCCTGATGATGTTCCATATTCATTTCACGCTGTGGTRCTATGTTTCTCTGGCGTTCTTTTGTATCTCTCTTGCTTTGTGTTAGTTCRTTTCGTTGTTTACTATCGTTGATGTTTTGCGATGTTTTGTGTACTAGGTGTCCTTCATTGTCTTTATTCATTTTCTTGTGCTCTTTATGGTTAATTTCAATTCCTTCATGCATAACATGAATTTCTTTGCCATTTTGAACCTCGYCTGAGTGAGTTGGCGTTACTTCTTCGTTTTCTGATGTTCGTTCGTGATATTTTGCACCTTTTTGATGAAAAATGTCGGGTTTCACGTGGTGA